AAAGCCAAAATGGTAATGAAATGGCAATTAATAGAGCATTCAAACCTTTTTATTCTTTTCTGTTAATGATAGAAATTTAGAAGAGAAACCTAGTGCATCTTTAAAAGTAGTTGAACTTGAATCTAAATTCCTTGTCTGCATTCTGTTAGTTTTTGTACAGTATCCTTCATGTGCATTTTGTACAATTCTGAATTGGAGCTGGAATAACCCCAGGCAACAGTTCAAGTTGACTAGGTAGCAGCTTGCCAAAAAAACCCCAAACAGATGTGTTTGTGGACAAGTTGAACATATGTTTTGCGTAAGTGATGGCCAACTGCATACTGGGCTGCATTAGCAAACCACCACCAGTAGACTGGAAGAAGTGATTATACATTTTTGCTGAACGCTCATGAAGCCACATCTCAGTATGGTGTCCAATTCCTCTCCAGTATAAGAAAGACCTCGAGAAATTACAGTATGACCAGTGGAGGGCCAATAAATGATCAGAAGACTGAAGGACAGGATGTACCAGGATGGGTTGAAGGAACTGGGCTTGTTCAGTGAAGAGAAAGGAAGGCCTAAGGGTATATTTATTGCTGTATTGAGCTACTTGAAGAATTGCTACAAGAGAAGACAAAGCCAAAGAGGTGTGAAGAGAAATTACAGTGGCAAAGGTCTCAAGTTGCAATTTCAGTGTGTCTTCTGGTGTTCTCACTGGTCTTATCCTAAGTTCTTCAGCTCTGCTTTTTCTTTTTAGTGGATCTTCTCTAATAAATTTGTCTGGATGTGGTCTGTGAATTCTACTCAACAAGATTAAAAAACAATTCTTATAGTTAAGCAGGCAGAACTTCCCCTGCCTGAGCCCTTGGTTTCTCCTAGAGCTTTCAGGCATGTCTGAGTCTCTTTTTATCCCATACTTAAGGAAAATGTGACTGACCACGTGTCAGTACTGATGTTCTATGACTCCCAGATGAGCATGTGAAAAGATGATACAAAGCATTTGTCTCCACAGCCTTTGCTACCTGTCATCTTTTTAACCTTCTCAAAAAGCTCTTGCAGGCAATTTCCTCACTTTATAAATGGATTTCTTGCTGCAAGGATTATGTGGCAATGGTCAAGGCTTGCAGTCATGGATAGGAGGGTAGCAGGTACTGCAGAGAATGTGCATGTGAGGCAGGACAGGGAGTCTCCCTGTGTGGTGAGAGGAGGCTGTTGAATGATTTCCATTAGCTGTTGCACAACTGGACTATTCTCATCTGATAAATAACAAAATGTCTCAGGCAAACACTAATGCAGATAATAGATTCCTGTGATCACCATATTTTTTCTGAAATAACATCACTGCACACTAATTCCAGCTTTGATTTGCTTCATTTGCTTCATTTGATTCTGGCTTCTTTTTTTTTTTTTTTTTTTTTTTTTTTTTTAAAGATGAAAAGTGCAGCTGAAGGGACCAGTGGTGAAATTAACTTTACACAGTAAATTACATCTGCAATATTTTTAAAGTAAGCTACTGCTATTTTAAATCAAGCTACTTTGTCTTCAGTGTTCTTAATTTTATAAGTGCTGTCCTCTAGAGCTTTCTATTAAGCAAAGTGTTTTAAAATGAGTCTTAAATAATTTAAATACCTCTTTTCTAAAATGCATCCATTTCCAGGAAGAATTTTTGTCAATTTTATGTCTTCTTGGGAAGAAAATAAAACAGGGAAAGTATTTTATTATTCTATCCACAGTTTTACAAGAGCAGGGAAGATGTGCAACAGTAATAGCCTCTATTCTACAGCAAGTACACACTAAGAAAAATCTATAATTACGTGATTTGTCCTCTTCACATCCTTCCCAAATCAAATGAAGTTAAAAATAAAATGAAAACCAGGAGTAATTTCTTATTCCAAATTGATGTGAAGGAGGTTGTGTTCGTTGTCAGTCTGAAGCCTGCTTAGCTTCAGCTAGTACTTCTCCCCCTAGAAGAAAAGGGACCTGGAGCCTTGGTATCAGAACCCTGATACTGCATACAGAAAAGTGAACGCTGCCCAGTTCCTCCTCATGAAAACTTTATGGTTTCATTGTAGACCTGGGCATCTGCTCTGACATGCCAAGAGTTTGTCCTTTCCCTGAATGGAGGACAGTTTAGTTCTCTTCTCCAGCAGTTATCCCCCAAAGGCAGTGGCCAAAGTAGCCACAGCACAATGCAGATCTCAAAATGGCTGGTACTGGCCTGTGAAGAATGGACTGAAGGAAATTGGCTGTGACGCAAAGGAGATGTAATGCAGTGGCTATACACTGTAGTCTACATAACACACCTTCTTTTGATAAGGATCCACCATTCCTGTAATTCAAATTGGAAGTGTACTTACATTACCATCCCTCAGATTTCCCGGTGTGCTAGTCAGAGAAATCAGGTGATGTACACCTTTATTCACCTGATCCTATGAAATTCCTTATTAGACAGAGGAGGAGAATGGGATGAAGTCAGTGTGACCATGTTGGCACACAAATTAGTTTGAAGCAAATGGTACTAAGTATTTCTTTGTTCTGTAATATGTGAAGGAGACCAGAAGAGACAGATTTGATAAACAAAACTCAGCCCAAACATAAACAGCTGGAAATGGATTTCCATGAAGCATGTCATGACATGACTGTCACATGTTCATGCCATTGGGTTGTACATCTCCAGCCCTCAGAGGGATGGCTGGATGGTGACCAGCCCCTTCCAGCCTCCGGCTCTGCACGGATGATGCAGTCATACCCAGTCACTGACTTAATCAGATACAGAACTGCACCCAGGACTGTAAGATGCTTTCTTCTTGGGTGCGTGCAGTGACTTTGCACCTTGGTGCTTTCCTATGACAACTTGTTGGCCCACTTTCTCCTTGGACAGCGCTGCAATGAACTGAATCACTTTTAGTCCATAACAACACATCACAGGCATGCCATGACAGCAAGCAATGTCACACAGCTCTTTATGCTACAATAAAGGGTAGGTGAATATAAACTCTAGGTAGTACATATGAGATGCTGTTTCTTCAGATATAAGGGTATAATAATATTCTAATATGATATCATTTGATTTAGATAGGAAGCAGTGTCATTTTTAGAATAGCTAAGTAACATATGTTAAAGGAACTTAAAGCCAGAAGGGTGCAAACTGACAAAGAAAACACCTAGACAGGGGGCCAATGCCTGTCTCTGAGATTAAGCACACACACTGTTCTCTCACACAGTAACTTGCCTCAGAGGATGCAACACCATGTCTAACCTCAGCAGTGAGGGGCTGTGGCTACACAGTTGCATTGTAGTTATAAGGTGTAAGACTGTACAAGTGACATCTAAATACTTCCTAATGATCACATCAAAGCAGGACAAAAATAAGACTGGTTCCTGGGAAATTAGGAGTCAGGTCCAATATGTGACTAAGTGGCAATGGTTTTCTGGGGCACAACCACTGAATATTCAAGAGCAGGAAGCCGAAATAGGAATCTGCTCTCCTCCTCTTTTCAGCAGGTTCCATGGAAAGGCTCCCTGGGCTTACACTAATCAGAGACAAAGTTATACCAGATGCCATCCAGAGCAAAAGCAGGATGAATCCAAGTAAAAGAAGGCTACTTTAGCATCATGCAGGGTCTGTATAGCACAAACATGACTACGGTCCAGGGTGTTTATTCATGCTCACACTGCACAACTCCATTGTTTATACCGTTAGATGTGCCCTTCCTTGTGCAATGCACATGAGGTTCTGAAACCCACATTTCATTTAGTCCTCTTCAATAACACTTAAAAAGAAATTAGTTCATAAATTTATGCTCCAAGTGATCCAAGACCTAATTATTCTGATGCATTTCTAATAGAAAATTAAGGAGAGTTCTACCAATGCCATTGCTGGTATGCTGCCCTGCAATGAACATAAGCAGAAAGATGAACAGGCCTACGGTATTTCATAGCAGTGAGGGGTCACATACCATCATACTTGCTGTATTATGTAGCACACTATATCTGAGTTCTAGTGTCTCTTAAAATATTTAACTAATTATTTCCTGATACTTTTGGAAATCAAAGCTCAATCAAAAGATAGGGTTTAGATTTTTAGGTATTCTATCACAAAAGATAGAACAGCAAACAACACACATCTAACATGTAAACTGGCATATTCAAATGACCCCACAACCTACTCTGTCTTGTTCTTCTATTTATCCTTTTTGTCCAGTATTTTAATTTCAACTTCATGAGCCAAAATAAAAAGAAACTTGTTCTATGTTTGTCTAGTGCTTACACAAGAAGGTCATGAGAAAGAGTCCTAGGCACTCATAGACAGTAATGAACTACTAGTAACACTATTGCAACTCCAGTACTGTGAATGCCTACAAATGTCCTTTTGAAGCAGAGATGGCAATAGGATAGGGGGAAGAAGGAGGACTGAGTTTTGAAGACACACTGGAAATACTAGTCACTCTGGTTGAATGACCCACCCACTCTTTGATGGCAAGCAGATGGTGAGTTTTGAGTGGTTTGTCCCTCAGTATGTTTCCCCTTCACACTACCTCTAACCAGAACCTGCCGCTTCCTCTGCTGTCTTTGCTCCAACAAAATGTTCCCTTTGTGCTGTTGCAATCCACTTCCCTCTAAAGATCCCATGGGGACTTCTGGTACTCATCACCGCCTGGTGCGTTCCAAATCCTTACCGTGCCCACAAAGCCTTTGTGCAAAAGGAAACTAATGCTAGCGGTGGCTGAAGGATCTTCCCTTTCCTAAGCAGATATGCATTTTTGCACAGCTGTCATTACATCATTTTACATCACATCTGTATTTGGAACTCCCTGAATGGTGAATGCTTATTGGCACCATCTGTGGGTATTGGCATGATGGGCTTTCCTGTCGTTTTTTTGCCAAAAGACATTTCTCCAACAAGAAGAATGATCAAAAAAATAATATACTGCTAGAAATAAATGAAAAGAAAATGCATTTCTGCTAGAAATTACATAAGTAATCAAAAATGAAAGATGACAGAAAATCACTGTACTTACTATGTGTCGTGCTGCAAACACTCCATCAACTATTGCACAAGAGAATGCTGCAACCACGCCAAAGCTGATAAACACGATGGAGGCTACTAACTGAGAAGAGAAAAACAGATTGAGTAATGTTTTCAATACAATTCGTTAAGTAAAACAATTACACTAATTTTGTAGTATTCTTAAATGACAGCTCCCTCTGCTGTAATTCACTTTAGATCAGTGTGGCAGGATGCCAGTCACGCACTAGAAAAAAGGCAGAAATTCTTGCTGCTGAGCTGACATACCATCAAGTCTACCAGAAAAGCTTAAATCTTTCTAGAGAAAATTAGGTCAGTTGTAAGAGTTATTAAATGCTATTAGCACACACTCTTGAGACAACGCTGGTCTGTTCTGAGGGCATGTCTGAAGGATGCAGTGCTGTGAGCAAGGTGAGATGAAGTGAGTGCTGAAAGAGAAACCCTGTGTATGCCTGGGAAGGTGCTCCCCCTGGACTCATTAGCCCCAGTGCCATCAGATGACGGAGAGATGCTGTCATTCCTTCCTCTCTCAGATTAGGGGGTTTTGTGACTTTGAGGACTCTGCATCTTGAGTTTGGATGAGTGAGTACCTGCAGGATATAAGGCATATCTTGCATACGTTCTCTGGCTATGTTTTTATAATTTAATGTACATCTGTCGCATCTCTGACATTTCTCACACAAGGTCACAAGAGGAACCCTTTGAAAGATCCTACAGGATAGGTTAATTTTAATTGAAAATAGTATTAAGCTATACCTAGTAATGGCAACAGATTAAAAAATTCCATTTAAAACTGACAGAACAGTGTCCTTAATTGATAGAGCACATGGACCAGGGTTTCAGTTCAGAATTTGGAACCTGTTTGTTATTAACTAGACATTAATTGGTCCTTCAAAATATGTATTTCAGAAATGCCCAGGTATAGATTACCGAAACCATATCCATACAGTTCATATCCAATATACATTTTGCCTATACAAAATCCATATCGGCATTGCCTAAAAACTGTTTTCACAGGTGTAAAATTTGTAAGGCATCACAAATCCACTTAAAAAACAGACTCTTTGGCCTATGTTGGGCTAAGAACAGCACAATGTCAAGAGTGTCAACAGAGGTCACAGTGTTGGTGACTTCCTCAAAAAAATGTATACTGGGCTAGTAAGAAATCACAGCCATATAAACCCATAGCACTAGACACACAGGTCAAAGCAATATCAAACATTTGGAAATAAGACCTCTCAGTGAATCAGCAAAAAGTATAACTTACAAGCAGAAGAATCACAGCTTTCAGATGCTTTCTGATACATTCTTTTAATCTCTCATTAGCTCATGGGTCTTAGATCATGTAATCAGAGGCGAGCCCGCACTGCCACAGGGATTGCTGTGTAATCAGAATCCTCAGTGTGGGGAGGAAGGGCACACGTAAGTGGCTGAGGCTGATGCTACTGGCTGATGTTGGGAATGTGCTGCAGCCAGCTCCCTCCTGCTGTAAGGAGGCAGAAAGCCTAGGAAAGGACTGTTGGCTGCATTGCCCTTCAACCTCCGCTATTTCTTGGCCTTCTCGTATGGCTGGTCATGTCTCATGAATCTGGTTGTCTAAAGGTCTTGTCATGCAACTCATCAGATCAAGAAGGCTGTGGGCTCCTTGTAGAGAGCTATTATCACTGCAGACCAGTGGGCTGTGGTACCCTGTGGCAGATGCATTTGCTCCAGACCCTGATCTCTTTATTTGAAAAAGCAGCAGTGTTTAAAAGTTCAGATTAAGTCATTAATGTCTGATAGCTCTATCTTGTTTTTCAAGTCATAGCAGTCAATCAAATAACTAGTGGGCTTAGCCAGGTGTTTCCAAATCGCCTGCACTCAGGATGAATTGACTGGAAGCTAACCTCAAGGTGGCTTTTCATTTCACACATGAGCAATTATATTGATGATCTACAATCCCCAAACCAACGTTTTCCACTCATGGAGATAGCTTAAATCACCTAATGAGTATGCTGCCCTTTCAGTTTTACCATATACCTATGAGACTGCATATAAAGGTGCACAGTAAATTGTATTATAGACAGGAGCTATGCAATCCTCAGTCATGTTGGTGACCATCTACCCATTCAAGGAGTTGCGTGCAAGTTGAAGGTTGCCAGCCAGGGTCAGCTGTTCTTATCCATGCCTAGCAACTACTTCAGTGAGTAGTCCCTTTGAAATTAATAGGACTGTTTCTTGACTGAAGTAATGTTTATTACAATGCCAAAGTGGCAGAATATGACACTCAGAGGCTCTTATCAAATTGCCCTACATACATATTTGAATGAAAAAAGAAGTCATAATACAAGAACAACACCAAAAAAATCCCTTAAAGTAAAATTACAGATTTATATTCTCTCCCATTGCCTACTGAGAATGTGAGAAACACATAAACAAAGTACAGAATTAATTACTTCTAAAAATTGTGGGCAAGACAGCCAAATGAAGAACTGTTGTAAATTCAAAAGCTAATTTTCCTGAGCGGTGGGTGATTGCTGGAGTTCTGAGTTCAAGAGCCTAGCACTGTCAAGAAAGAAAAGCAGTGAAGTTCACTTAAACATAGAGAATTCTTGCTGACAGGTAAAAGAAATAACACTTTTAAAAAAATAAATGCTGATCCATCCCATCACCTCATCTCCATTATTAATAGCAGTATGTTTTGAGAGGAAAACCATTATTTATAACAATATATTTTAACAGTTATTCAAGAAACAGCTTTGCTCGTGCCGTTTAATTGCTGTGCAGTCAGGCTTCTCTACAGCTGTTATTATCAGACATGTTTACTCCTGGTTCTGGTACAGAATACAATAATTTAGTTATTTACAAGGGAAACATGAAGCCAGTTATTAAGCAATGAAAACTGTACTGTGTGGGCCTAACAATTAAACCCCAAAGCCAGTTGTTTTACAGAAGTGGTTTAGCAAAAGGGAGAGCAAAATAGCATTTGGAATGAGGGACTTTTTCACACAGTATTGACTGAAGAGCTGTTACCTATCTTCAGTTATATCACAGAAATATGAAAACACTCAAAAATGCAAAACTAGTGAAAGGCTGAACTGCTAAATTCTTACATTCTGCCTTCTTTCAGAAAAGACATGCATTTTATTGCATAATTTATGTGTTTTAGACAACCTCTTGTCCTTCAGCGGGCATACAGGACCACTGGCTGCACTGGGTCACTCTTCCATGCAAGCAAGTCCAGTGAAAGTAACAGAGCCAGGGGACACCCTGTGGCCATGGAAGCTGGTCACGGATGGCGTTCAGCTGTCAGAAATGCACCTGGTACTTGGTAAGTACCCAACAGTGTCCCACAATGATTCCTAGGCATGGTTTTGGAGTTAAGAGTTGGCCACAGACCAGACTCAGGGGGGAGTTTGATGTGGCTGCCATGGCTGCAGCCACACTCTCAGGTAACCGCCATACCTCAGGTCCCCAGGCACCTTGTGTGTCAAATCACAGGCTGCTGGCCCTGTGTCACCACTGTGTGACATGCAGAGACATGAAGCCAGTGTCTGCCAGCAGATGCACAGAAAATCACATTGGCCCCCTGCATAAGCACCTGCTGGCTACAGGCTGGTACCTTGCTGGCTGCTTCCAACATCCCTGTGAAACACCTCTGAGAGCCTTGCTAGCCTTCAGGTCTCTGTTCTCACACATACCTAGTTTCCTCATGGCTCTAATTTAGCCTTTACCTGTTCTCAGTCAAAAGACACAACTACTCAGATAATGACAATCATTTCTAGCACCAGATGCTGTGTGAGATGCCTCATTCTCTCAATTTAGACTAAGTAGATCTAAGACTTTGGAAAATGCATGGATTTTTGTTTTCAGAATTACCGCTGTATCAGACATAAGTTACATTATTCTAATAGACCCACTTTGCTCATGCTAAATGGCTGCTTTTGCACTGCTCAGTCTCCAGTGTCTCCAAACATTGTGCTGTTCATAAGTCTCTCTGGGGTTTGTTTTCCAGGCTGTTGCATTTAGGGTGAGAATAAATTTGGTAAGAGATAAATCCCCTTGCATTCTAGCTGGTCCTCAGAGATTAGAGGGGCTAGGGGCAACTGGACTTACTCTTAATAGGTATGCCAACTGGGGCTGTAACTATAGGTCTGACCCAGATGCCCAAACAGCCTGTATGCTGTAGGTCCAGTTGCATTCAAAAGAAGCCATCAGATTCACAAGTAGTGCTGATTAGTGACCGTTGCTATAGGTCTGACCCAGCCCAAACAGCCCATATATTGTGAGTCTGGTTGCATTCAAGAGAAGCAGTCAGATTCACAAATAGTACGGTTTATTTTTATGCAACATCTACAGATTCTTTAAGATTGCTTACAATAAATGCACAAAGTGCAGGTTGGCTATATAGCACTACACAAAAGAAAAATGATTGCAATCACACACACTATGTTCCCGGGTATACATTCGATGTAGCCGAGGAAAACTTACCAAAAGGCATCCCTTCGGGGGGGGAGGGGGGGAGCACAAACCTGCCAATCTGTCCCTCTGATTTGGTGTTGGATTATCGTCCCTCCAAGTCAGGTAAAAACTGGGGGTAGTATTTATCTTAGTTTGTATGTGTGAGTGGGTGGGACTGTAGTCAAGCCATTATCTTTTGGGTAACGACACAATACATTCTTTGGTGCCAGGGGTGCAGCTAGGTTTTGTGAGAAAAAAGGGAGAATGAGGAACAAGGCCAGCAGGCTACTGCAAAATACATCCCTTGAGAGAAAAAAGTAGAGCAGGAGATAAATCTGTCCTTGAAATGAGTGAAAGAATGGGACTGTGCAGCCTACACCCCACTTTGCATTCCTCCTTGGCGCCACAACAAACACAAATCACTGGACCTCCATCCCATCCTGTGCTTGCTCTGGGCACCCTGTGTCAAGGAAATGTGTGTTTCACAGATATCTCGCTGTTTTGCTTTGCTCACCTTTCCAACACCTAACACAGGCAGAGGAAGAATCACCATTACCCTCACTGATGTAAATTCAGAAATACTGTTATCCAATACCTTTTGATTTGGAAAGTGATGGCTGTGTAACTGTTATGCCACAGGTT